ATTTCAAAAAAAGAAAAAAAAGAAAAGAGATCCGTCATTTGCCGTGACGAACCTGCCCAGTTCAGCCAATTTGAGCTCTCATGGCGCCTGACAGGTAGGCAACATCTTTGGCTGCAGTGCATGCGTGTACTGCGGGGCGGCCTTCTCTGATGCTCGCAGGCGCCTAGCTCTCGTAATTTGACGAATGAATCTACGGAAAACGGACGTTCTTTATGGACGATCCCTAAGCCGACTAAGTGTTTCAGAGCGGATACTACCGTGTTGGGCGACTGCCATACTCGATGCAGGGGCTATGACACCTTACAGGCGGAATGATTAAGTACTCGACGAAACCCATAAAACACTGCGGCGTCCCCGCTCTAAAACACACCCTGAACTACCCCAAGACTGTAGCACCCCCGGATTACCACAGACCGTATCCAGTTGAATTACTCAATAAGTCGTTTCCCACCTCGCGTGCAAAAGGCACGTCGCGATCCCCCATGGCCAACAATATGCGCAGTAGAGCTCTGCAAACTCGGCTATTTGATTAATCCCGTATTCCAAACGTGCCAATCTGCCGTACTTTAATTATGCTTTAAGTGGCAGACTGTCACTGCTGACACTCTTTGGGGACACTTTTTTACTGTGGCATACCCCACAGCACTGTGTAAGTTACATTGAGTTTTGCAGCAAGTTATGTCTTTTCTTACGGGCGCCTGCAAGGTACAGGTCATTCACGGTACAAGAACACAAGAACCCTATGTTCGCAATGTACAGTACCTGGCTAATCTATTAAAGGCAGTCCCCACCTGACCACGCGGGGCCGAGGTATAGGAGGTGCTCGGCCCCAGGTCTGCTGCCACAGGTTTTTTTCTCTTATTTTTTTTCTCACCTTCCTCCTCACCTTCCTCCTCACCTTCCTCCTCCCCTCCCAGAGTCGCCCGTCGCCCCCCTGCTCCTGGTTTGGCGGCACCAAGGCGAGCCTGACAGTCGCTGACCCGATCTGAATGCGAGTTTTGTGTGCCTCCCGGAATTAGCGATTGCGTTGGATTGCCATATAGTGGCCTATGGCGTGGCGTGGGCTATTAAGATGGATCTATTAGAAAACGTTTCGGGACCGAACCGACCGAATACTCGTTAGAGGGGAGGGGGGAAGGGGGTCCTTCAAAGGGCTGAGGCAATCGCATCCTCTATGAGAGTTATGACACTCTACAGCGAACGAGTATAAATCATACAATTTAATCGCGGGCTTATCTTTTAGTATATCATAATTTTGCAAGTTTCTTTTTCGTGACATATGC